ACAAAGATGGATAAACAGGCAAATCAGAAAGCAGTATAACACAGCTTAAAAAGATAAAGTCTGTCTACCTAGTCAGGAATGAGAAGACGAGAAAACTGGTTGAGACGGGGAAGTAACACAACACCTCTTTCTATCCCCATGAGCTCCCTTATAGCCCAAAGCTTGAAGATGAAGAATCAGCTCATAATCAAGTAAAACTAACAGGAACTTTAATGTGTTAGGAATTTCAAAAATGAATTTTAAGTGGAAAATTGCTAATAATGCTATTTATTTATTATGTGTGTATACATACATACATGTGCGTGTACAAGTGAGAGATCAACACTGGGTGTCTTGTTCTACTGCCTTCCACCTAGTTTGAGACAGAATCTCTCTTTGACCCTAGAGCTAACTAAAGTCATGTCTAGGCTGGCCAGAAAGGTCCAGAGATCAGTCTGTCTTGCCTCATCTCTTCACTCCCAGCCATGGGTATGCAGATACATGTGCTTGGCTGTTAACATGGGTGTGGAAGATCCTTTGACCCACTGGCCCATCTCCTCAGCACCTAGGGGCACAGTTTTTAATCAGGGTAGGGGAAGGGGGGGGGGAAGCCTCACCCTAAGGAACTATTTGGTAGACAGAGGTCTGAAACTGAAGGAGTACAAACTGAAACAAAGTGTTGGTTTGTTTGTTTGTTTGTTTTAAACACTCCAAAGACTGGAAGAGGGCTCTGAGTAAATTTTCTGTGGTAAAAAGATATGTTGTTAATTATAATTGGAATTGTTGTAACCTGGACATTATCAGTTTATCAAAAGCCATCAAATTATATAGATTTAGGACCTGACACAGGTAAATGTAAGAGACCTGCATTTGGTTTCAAGTCATGCACTTGCCAGCCAAGTTCCTTCAGCTGTGGGTAGCACAGTCTTCTCCAACAATGCAGCTCCCAATTCATCATCTTACTCCCTGAATAACCAACTTAGTAACTGTTCTGGACATTATTCTACACCTTTACATCGTGTGTGTGTGTGTGTGTGTGTGTGTGTGTGTGTGTGTGTGTGTGCATGCACGTGTAGCTATAGTCTATACTTTGACATCCACAGTACATATGGCTCCTCTCTCTCTAAGCGGCTATAGTCAACACTGGTAATCATTCCACTTCACTGGGACGTGGCAAGGTCATTCTAACCTGGATCCTCAGTGCTGAGTGACGTGGAGCTGGTCGTCTTAGAATGCAGGCTTGTGACACGGTGACACAGTCAGGCAGATCCAGACATGGACTTTGACCTCCTGCAGCCAGCCGTTTACATGGAAACTCAGGAGGAGTTTCTCTTTTGCAGAAGGAATTATAGAGAGGTTGAAAACAAAAGGAAGGAGTTTGGGGAGCAAGGAGCAATTTCTAATTAACCCTTATGATCACGTTAGCAGAGAGATTAGAATTTCACAAAAGGTTTGGGTTTAACTATTTATATGTGCAGAAATGGTTCGCCTGCACTTGTGTGTAGCGGCTGTGAGTAGTGCCCATAAAGGTCACAAGGGCATCAGATCCCCTAAAACTAGAGTTACAGATGATCTGTAACTCCCTGATCTGCCATGTGACTGTGGGGAATCAAACCCAGATCTGCAAAAAGCATTCTTAACCACTGAGTCATCTCTTCAGCTCCATAAGATGACAATTTAAAAAAATTTCACTTCATTATTATTTTTGTAGTGTTGATTATCAAACCCAGAGCCTCATACCTGTGTAGGCATTCTGTAACTATAGCTATCCTAGCCCTGTGACATGTTTTTAAAACTGCATTCATCTGTAATGCATACTCTAGTTGTTTTCAAACAGACACTGATGCATATATTCTGTAGCAGATGCTGTGTGCCTTTTTAAAAGCTGCACCCCACCCCTTTCATCCTACTTATTCAGCACGAGACTGCTTTCTTTATTGAGACTAGGTCTTGCTATGTTACCCAGAATACCCTGGAAATTGCTTGAAACTTCCTGCCTCAGCCTAAGTGCTGGGACTACAGATGTATGTGTACCACTGCACCACTGGACTACAGATGTGTGTGTACCACCGCAACACTGAGATTGATTTCTTTTTTTTTTTTAAAGATTTATTTATTTATTATGTACACAATATTCTCAGTATTCTGTCTACATGTATGTCTGAAAGCCAGAAGAGGGCACCAGATCTTATTACAGATGGTTGTGAACCACCATGTGGTTGCTGGGAATTGAACTCAGGACCTTTGGAAGAACAGGCAATGCTCTTAACCACTGAGCCATCTCTCCAGCCCCCTGAGATTGATTTCTTGAAGCTTTATGGAAAGGTGTATTTTGGCCTCAAGCAGCGAATGTGAACAAAATGAAGTTAGTGAGATGCAAAAGGTGACGAGCTTTGGAATCTGTGCTAAAATGCCCGCCTCCCAAGGCAAAGGTGCGGACAGAGCTCTACAGTACCCCACTGTGGTTTTCTCACGATGGTAAAGATGTGAGGTGAAAAATAGCCAGGTCTGTTAAAGTTTCTACAAGGCTAAGTGGCTGAACTGTGTTACTATAGAGTACGACCATGTTACAGGCCATAAACAAATTACCTTGGGCAATTTTCAGTCCCTTTGAAAGTCAGTGTTGCCTGTCTGTAACCACCAAAACTTTTAAAATGTGTTGACAGACTAGCAGCTCCTATCAACCCAAAAGCCAAGCATGTCCCCAGCTAGACTCTGAAACCTCTAACAACTGTAAAATTTCCTGTGGTCCCAAGCGGTGCTTGTTAAATTCCTTGATTTATGACTTTATTTGTTCTGTAACTAATAAAATCTCATATAATTACTTTCACAGTGAAACATGGTATTGGGGCAACTTGAATCTGTGCTCCAAGGCCATATTACTCATACTTGGCTGCAGAATAAACTCTTTTTTCCCCCTTTGAGGTGAAAACTATTTTTTATGACAGATGCAGTTTTTAAAGCTCACCGTCATTTTATAATCCTAACAGGAAAACCAAGAATACATGAGCTTCCATTATTGTTAACAGAAGTTTCTGTCCCACCCGGTTCTAAAGTCATTAAGTCCCAAAGAATCACACAGAGGTCTACATTAATTATAAACTGGTTGGCCTATTAGCTCAGGCTTCTTATTAACTCTTAGAACTTACATCAGCTCATAATTGTTGTCTATGTTAGCCACGTGGCTGGGTACCTTTTTCGACAAGGCAGTCACATCTTGCTATCTTGTTTCCTCCTCTGTGCCCACAGCTACACCCTCTAAACGTCCCAGTTTCCCCAGGACTAAGTCATTACTTAACTGCCCTCTGTCCCTGTGTATTCGCCCACTGTGGATACTTCATATAAGCACAGCTGTATCATATATGAAATTTTGGGTTGGAGAGATGGCTCAGAGGTTAAGAGCATTGCCTGCTCTTCCAAAGGTCCTGAGTTCAATTCCCGGCAACCACATGGTGGCTCACAACCATCTGCAATGAGGTCTGGTGCCCTCTTCTGGCCAGCAGACATACACACAGACAGAATATTGTATACACAGCAAATAAATAAATATTTTTAAAAAAATATGAAATTTTATGGCTAGCTTCTTTTACCTAGCACTTTCATGGTTCACCTACACATTTTACAGCATTTATCAATAGTTTCTCCCTTTACGGCCAAATAATTAGTGCAAGGATACACCACATTACGAAGCATCTTCTGACTATGGAAACATAGCCCCTTCCGTTCTGCTCAACCACACAGCCAACCTGGCAGCACATTCTGTGTGAGCCATTTTCATCGCATCTGCATAAGTTCAGTCTCCTAAGAGGTCTTCTTGCTCCCTGTCCCTTTCTGGGAATTAGTGTGCACTAATTCGAGTCAGACTACACCACTCCTCTGTTCCTAAGCCCGTGATCACTTCCACTTCATACCCAGCTGAGTATCCAGCTCTACTCATCTGGCCCTTGTTACAGCTCCAACCTCGTTACCTGCTTCCCCCACTCCTTTTGCTCCAGTCCTTCTGACTGGCCGCTCCTTCCAAAGGTCAAGTGCACTGTCACCTCAGGGCCCTTTCCTGGCATGTTCTCACTTAGAGAGCTACAATCCCATCCCTTCTTTCACACCTGCTGTCACGTCCTCTGCTCTCTGTACACCAACTGACAGTTTTCCCCATGGTTCTGAGGACTGAAGCTCACACATCCTGGGCGAGTACTCTTCCAGGGAGCTCCACGCCCAGCTACCTCACAGCGTTTCGGATTGTGGCTCCATCCCTACTCCTGTTTACCTCGTCTCTTTGCAGCACGTCTCACTACCTAAGAGACTATATGTTTTTCCTTAAAGTGCAAACTTCGTCCACACCCGTCTCTCTCATTCAAAGCTATGCCTCACAAAGACACTATCAAGACATCTGCCAAACTCTTCAGCCGCACAATCATCTATCCTGTTTTTGCAGGAACAGCTCCTAAAAAGTCCTGAGGGGTTTCTTCCAGTGTAGATTCCCTAGAAGGATTATATTTTACCTCGAAAGAAAAAACTGTGCTTAATCTTGTCAACCACAAGGAGGAGTTGAGAGAGAGAGAGCGAGAGGGCGCGCTGAGCAAAGAGAACTCAGGTAATCTTTTCCCTTGCTTTTCCTCCTCTAACCTCAAGGGGGAAGAGAACTGGATTTGGAACCGGCTAAATAAATGAATGGTTTTTCTCCGCATTATGAGTTACCTAGACACACACGTCAACAGTAAAGATTACAACCCTTTCATAGGCAACAGGAATCGAGGCCTGGGAGTGTTTCATTTCCCGATGACTTATAGTTCACAAATCAGGGAAAGAGTTCCCATCAGCAGACACATAACTTACCGATGGCGTTCCAGGTCTATTTAACATTGTCTCTACCATTTAGCAATGACCACGTCTACGATTCTTAAACGACGTAAGCAATTCGGTCTCTGGACTGAAAAACCAAATCTCAGATCTGCTAGTAACTAACTCATCAAGCCCCGATTCGTGTACACCGCGATCAGTGTCCCCAGCGCTCTTGGACTCACCGCCACCTGTTGATGCCCACGTTGGAAGAGCCGGCGAACCAGGGGTCGAGGATGTAGACGCAGCGGATGGTGTCGGCGCCCTGGATGCACTCCTTCAGGGCGGGGTTGTCGTGGAGCCGGAGTCCCTTTCGGAACCAGTGCACGGCGTTCACCCCCATGCCTGGGGTGGGGGGCGCGGAGGGTCACCCCGACTTCTTCTACCGAGAGCTTCAAGGGAGAGAAGCCGGGTTCATAACCGACACCTGCGCTTCCAGGAGAACCTCCGCACACGAGGAGCGGGGAAGGGACGGCAGAGGGGGGACGGGAGGAGGCGGCGCCCAGGCCGGGCGCGGAGGCGGCGAGCGCGCAGCTGGCAGATGAATGGAGGCTGCCGAGGCGCTGTGGTCCACGGGCGACGTCCTTCAGGAGCCCGCGCCCGCGGCCGGCGTCCGGAGGACACGCATACCTTCCAGGGCCTGCAACCCCCGGAGCGCAAGCAAGCGCGCGGGGCTCGAGCCGCCACGACGGCCCGAGCTGGCCGCAGCCGCCCCGGGAGGCTCGTCACGGAGACCTCGCCAAAGCGAGGCGGCCCGCGGGGGGAGACGGTGGCTCGCCCCGAGCGGCCTCCCACCGACCGACCGACACGCGGCCCCCGTGCGCCCCCGGAGTGGGCAGGCAGCTCGGATCGCGGCCGGCGGGCGCTGCGAGGCCGGCTCGCTAGACGTTTCTCTCAGCCCGGCCCGGTCACCGGTCCCGAGGCTGCCCGGGTGACTCCGCCGCGTCAGCGGCCTCCGCCCCGCCCCCGGCTCCTCATTGGCCGGCACGCGCCCCACGTGACCACCGGCACCTCACGTTTCTGAAGTGTGATTACTACGCCGGCCCGGGACCCCGGCGTGAGCGGCGGTGCCGGGCGCTTCTGGACCGGTTGAGGCCGCTGGGCGCTCTGGACCTCAGTGCTCGCCGGGGAGCCGTGCTCGCCGCCTCAGCGGGTGTCCTCCACTCCCAGGATGATCGCCGGGGATGCAGGCCTCGGGGGAGGGGCAGGAGGCGTGGCCCCGCTCCCCCGGGGGGCCGGGAGCGGCTTCCATTGGCTGAGGCTCGCCGAGACCCGGATGAGCACGGGGCTGCGGGGAGCTCGCGAGCGCGCGCTCCGCTAGGCGCGGGCGCGCGGGCACGCGGGAGTCCTGGCGGTGTGATCGAAGGGACCGGGGTACAGGAGCGCGCCCAGTTCTTCCTCAGCGGTGTGCGGGGGGTTCTAGGGCCAGTGCGGTGTACCCCGAGAGTTCCGGCAGAGCTGGGTGAGTCGTACAGGAGGAGAACCACCGCAGTCCGGCGTGAACCGGAGTGCCCTGCTCTGGAAGGAGCGGACACCACCCCCTTTAGCCGTTGCTTCTGTTTGGCGCAGACACTTTTGCACAAGCTCCGGACAAGACAGGTCCAGAACCAGCTAATTCAGCACTTCCCGGCGTTTCATAATACTGTCGGTACATCGTCAGTTTATCAACCCTAATCTATTACACGAGGTGTATTTAGAGGACATCGATTAGTTGTTGTTGTTGTTGTTGTTGTTTTTTTGTCAACTGGAGTTAATTTGGGAAGAGGAACCTCAACCGGGAAAGGCCTCCATCAGGTTGCCCGTCGAGAAGTCAGTTGGCATTTTCTTGGTTAATCACTGATGTAGGAGGACCCGGCCAGTGTGGGTGGTGCCACCGCTAAGCAGGTGGTCCTAGGCAGGTTGTATAAGAACGCAGGCTGAGCAAACCCAGGGGAAGCAAACCAGTAAATAGCTCTCTCCATGGACTCTGTTTCAGCTCTGTCCCCAGGTTTCTGCTTCGAATTCCTGCCCTGACTTCTTCTCTCCATGAAGGACTATTAACTGTAAACTTCCTGCCCAAGTTGTTTCCGGTCATGGTGTTTTATCCAAACAATTGAAATCTAACTAGAACACGGGGCTACGTGTGCACTTTTGCCAGACTTTCCAACAATAAACTACATGTCATGCATTAGACATATAATGCCTTTTTTGTTGCTGATGGGTCTCATGTAGCCCTGGTTTATTTTGAACCCGCTATGGAACTGAGAATGACTTTGATTCTCATGTCCCCATCCCTGAGTCCTAGCATCGCCCATGTGCTTATATTATTCATGAGATTATATATATATATATATAGAATATGTATATATATAATATATATTATATAGTCTCCATCTATCTATCTATCTATTGAGAGGATATTGTTAAGTTGCTTAGGGTGGCCTTTAATTTACTTTGTAGGCCAGGAATGTCTTTACACACCATGCTTCAGCTTCAGGAGAGCAACTTCAGTGTTACAGGCACTGTGCCACTAGGGCCAGTGTAGCGATTGCTTATTGAATGAAGCCTGAGTGTGCAAAGGAGATAACAAAACCCCAGCCCTCCTGGAGTTTGCAGTTTGTTTCTTAACTCTTTATTGTGCTGGATTTTCTTTTGACAGAGGAATGCTCTTTGGGATCTACAGCTCACTGGAATCATCTTTGAGCTACCTAAAGTATATATCTCATCATACCCGTTTGGATCCAAATAAAATGCTCCCTAATTTGTGAAAACATTCTTTACCTCTACTACAAATATAGCGCCTCCCTGAGTCCTCCAAGCATGTGTCTGATACATCACTTGACACACTGTTACTAAGACTAACAAAACATTTTATTACAATACCTAATATTACCTCAACAACAATACTTAACCAATATAGTAAATGTGTTTCTGCTTCCCTCCAAAGTGTAACTTCTCAAGGACAGGGTCTCTGAGTCCAGCTTGTCTTTGTGGGCCATCAGTATCGAGTACAGAACTTGGCATGTGTTAATTAAGTGTTAATTGAACAAATGAATGAAGAGTTGCCGGGCATCATTATGTTTGGCAAAGTTAAAAGGAGGAAGAAAATAGTGCTAGTTAAAGGTTGAATTGTGTCTACTTCAAGTTCTTACAAAACCCCCTTACCTGTGAAAATGACTACATTTGGAAACAAGGTATTTAAGTACAACCTATTCAAGATGAGGTCATCTCTAAGGTGTACTCTAATCTAACATGTTAAGTGTCCAAAATAGAGGATAAACTTGAGCATAGAGACAGACATGCATATAGAGAGAATGCCATGTGAAGATTGAAATTACGGTTGGCCACAAACGGAGGGAAGAGCAGGAATCAGCAAAGCCTTGGAACAGATCCTTCCTTACTGACTACAGAGACCACGTGACCCTCCCGATGCCTGCTTTTGAACTCTGACCTCTGGATGTGGCACAATAAATTCCGTAGCTGTGAGCTACCTGGAGTGCAGTACTTTATAATGGCAGCTTTAACAAATGATACCAGGAAGCTAACTTCACTGCTTTAGGGAGCCAATGTCTAAACATTCTTCTCTGCCTCTGCTTCCGTTGCCACAGTAGTCGGGCTTCATTTTTTAGTTTCTGCAGAAAATTTGAAACTATGTACATGAAAACCATAGAGAAGTAAGCAAATTGTTCATTTCTGCAAAAAGGCGTAAACGTTTTGTGGTCACTGCTAGGGACCTTCCGCCTCTCATCGCCCATGCAGAAGACCTGATAACAGGGCTGTGCCTTCTTCACTGGGATGGTGCTGTGTCCTAGGACCTATTTTTGTACCTTTAAAAGATACAGTGTTTTGTGTTTGGCTTTGAACAATCTGAAAGGAAGCAGATTGTATCTAAAGACATAAAGCTGTTTTCAAGAATCCAAACAAAATGGTGGGAAGTGAAGAGAAAGTTGATCCATGTAGAGTTGACTTCTGTTTATGGATTGTTCATTCAATAAAGATGAATTTTGTAACAGACAGTGTGTGGGTGTTTGTGTAACTTTAGCATTGAAGTATTAATCTGTTATAAAAGTACATCAACAGTACATTTCTCAAATACAAAAGGGTTTTAATGGCACATCAGCCATGACTTTATTATATTTGGATTGGGCAATGGAGATTGCCATTTAATAACAGCCATGACTTATTGGGCAAGTGCTATATTCTATATACAGTATATTAGTAATCTTGTGATACTTTTTTCTCTGTAGCATTTTTGTGGGTGTTAGGGGGTTATGCTGTGGCATCATGGAGAAGGTAGTTTTTAACTTCTTCACACTGAAAACCAGTTCTAGGCCTTGGGAGTAACTTTTCTGTATTTGATGCAGTCAGTAGATGGCCAAGTTGTGTCTTCCGGGGCATTTCCAAACCACCCTGCAGGTCCAGTAGGTGTTCTAAGATACTATGGGTATGGGGACAGCCTGGGCAGGGGCTGGGCTTTCCAAAGTGGTGGACAGGACCGAGAGCCTCTTGGGAGCTGCATGGGCACCCTGTGTCTGTGGATTAGTGGCAGGACAAGTTGGGTTTGATCTTTATAATGCTATTGGGATACAGTTAAATCTTATTAGGGTAAGATAATTTTTTTTTTCTTTTGGTTTTTCGAGACAGGGTTTCTCTGTAGCTTTGGAGCCTGTCCTAGAACTAGCTCTTGTAGACCAGGCTAGCCTCGAACTCATAGAGATCTGCCTGACTCTGGCCTTCCAAGTGCTGAGATTTAAAGGTGTGTGTCACAGCCGCCCAGCAGGGTAAGATAATTCTTATTGATAAGAAACTAAAACTCTCCAGGTGGTGCTGGCACGGGCCTTTAATCCCAGCACTTGGGAAGCAGAAGCAGGTGAATCTCTGTGAGTTTGAGGCCAGCCTGGTCTACAGAGCAAGTTCCAGGACAGGCCCCAGAACTACAGAGAAACCCTGTCTTGAAAAACAAAAACCAAAAAAAACCCTAAAATTCCAGGACATAAGTAATAAAACTGAATGAAAAATCCCAACCTGTTTCTAAACCCAAAGCTCTTTCCTTGGTTTACAACTCATCACTGGCCCTCGTTCTTTTAGAGCGAATTTTAGTTACAGGCATAGTCAAGCACTGACTGTGGTTTCATGCAGTTAGGAGGCTGAGTTGGGGAGATCAGTCTGAGTTCAGGACTAGTTAGCCAAGGCTACTTAGTGAGGCCTTTTCTCAAATAAAACAAAACCACACACACACACACACACACACACACACACACACACACAGAGAGAGAGAGAGGGAGAGAGAGAGAGAGAGAGAGAGAATATTACTGGTTAAATTCTTGTTGGTTTCAGTGTCATGATAGAAGCAGAAAGAAAATAGGACCAAAAGGAAGAGACTGCCTCAGTCTCTTGCCATTAACTTCGTCAGGACTGCTATGGTTTGGGTGTGGTTTGTACATTGAGGGCGCATGTGTGAGAAGCTCGGTCTTCAGTGTGGTGGTGTAAAATGCTAACCCATCTCTCCAGCCCTGCAATAAACTCTTCTAGAGACTCTGCTCATACATTTAACACTGAGTTTACTTCACACATCAGTTATTAATTATCGCATCTCAGCTCCAAATTCATATTTCATTGCCTCTCGATAGTAGAACAAAACCTTATAAGGACATCTCCTTTGCTTCTGGCATTATGTTATGAATTGCCAGTAGAACGCAGGATGGAAAGCGGAGACACCATCTCTTCTGAGGTCTGCATGCTTTTGTTTTCTTTTTTCTGACCCCTACTCTGTGGTTGGCAGCAGCCCTTGGAGAGTGGACATTCATGAGTCAGTTTTTATCAGGTTTCAGTAGCAGCCTGGTTGGTGGCTTTCCACTGAGTCTCACAGACAACCTGACATTGGGGATCCCGTCCCAGCCTAAGTGCTGTTTAGGAAAGCATTTCTTGTGATCACTGCCAGCAATGACTTTCTGCCTACCAGCCTCTCAGTGAGTTCTGGCTAATTTCCTTTTCCAGTGTCTGTCGTGGCCACACATGGGGCTGACATCCGTTGGGGTCCATCTTTGCCGGTTTCCTACGATCCAGGGTAGGAGCATGTGGGTTAGAAATGTTAGGTAGAATAAACAGAGACACAAAATACAGAGACAGTACTGGGAGGGCAAACAGTAAATACTGAATCTGTCCACGTTTATTTCTTAAGATCTTTAAATACCCAATCCAAAAACAGGGAAGAAAGTCAAAGACTTCCTTTTATCATGATACAGGAACGATGTGGTTACCATTTAAATATCAGAACAGCAAGTAACCACACCCTAGGTCCAGATATCTTTGCTAGTAGCCAAATCTTAAGTCAAATCTCCTGTCAATAACCAGAAGGCACAAGAATAGGTTTAAACTCTCTGACCTTTAGTGGAGGCGGAATGGACCCACTTCTCTGGCTTTCCCCAGTGTCTGCAGCCACACCTTCTATAGTGAGGTATAAATCGTACCCTTGGGGAAGATCCCTGGCTTCACTAAATGTGTCCTTAGCACTCAGACACAGGTTTGGGTGTTCTTTGGAGTTCTACCTATCTTAGTCAATTGCTTGTTATAGCTCATAGTTCCTCTTACTAAATATTGCTGGAGGAGGGCGCCGCTTGTTGGTTCCCAGACACGTAGCCCCAAAATAATCACACAGAAACTGTATTAATTAAATCACTGCTTGGCTCATTAGCTCCAGCTTTTATTGGCTAACTCTTACATATTAATTCAGCCCATTTCTATTAATCTGTATATCACCACGAGATCGTGGCCTACCAGCAAAGTTTCAGCACATCAGTCTACCGCGGCCGGTGGCGGCTCCATGGCTTCTCCGTGACTCAGCTCTTCTTTCTCCCAGCATACAGCCTAGCTCTCCCTGCCTAGTTCTGTTCTTCCCTGCCATAGGCTCAAAGCACTTCTTTATTCATTAACCAATAAAAGCCACACACAGACAGAAGGACCTCCCACACCAAAATATTCCTCATTTTATATGGCCAGTCATTTTGGTTTCCTGGCTGTAGATCAATGCAATCCACAGTTGATTTGTGAAAAACCCTCTCCCTGGTTCTTATCCTCCTTGCTGACCCAGTACATTTATAAAGTGTAAATAGTTACAAATGTAGCAATATGATATTGTGAAATATTAGCCAATGTTTTTTTTTTTCCCAATGTTTTTTTTCCTTTCCACAGACTTTTTTTTTTTTTTTTTTGGTCCAATGTTGACCACGCAGGTCACTGGATTCAAGGCCAGCATTAGCATCTGTGATCTGGTCTGATCTCAGAGCAGCGGTGTTAGGAGACAAAGTCTTGTCCTGAACTCAAGCCTGGTCCTGGTGCCAATCAGGAAAGATTCACTGCGTCCCATTCCTCCCACAAGCGACCTAAGAACAGGAAAATAAGATAAAATGTGATCAAACCGTACCTGAAGTAAAAAGGTAATATCATAACAAACTTTTTTTTTTAATCTAGGATCAGCTCCAGATTACCGAGATAAACATTGGGTAATCTGACAATGATAGAAAGGATTTAGGCCAATTTCCACCTGAAATCAGGAGACCAAGTCCCTGGAAGAACTGCCTTTGAGACTTTTGTAGTCGAAACCAAACCGCCTGTGTGGAACTCCACGGGGCAGAGGAGGCCCAGGAAGCACAGGCCAGACCCCCCGCTGGTTCCAGAGAACAGGCAGACTTTCACTTGCCTGCACATATGCATGTCTAGCGTCCCAGGAGCTGAGAAGAGGACTTTGGGTCCCCTGGAAGTGGAGTTCCAGATGATTGAGAGCTGCCGTATGGATTCCGGGCATTGAACCTGGGGTCTTAGGCAACTGTTCTTTATCTCTGAGCATCTCAGCAGCCCCTCTTTTGTTTTCTGAGAGAGGATCTCATGTATTCCAAGCTGCCTTCAACTTTCTAAACTCCCGATCCTCCTGCCTTCACCTCAGAGTTCTGGGATGGCAGGTGTGAGCCGCCACGCCCAGGTTATGTGGTGGTTTCGCGCAAGCCAGGTAAGGACTCTGTCATCTCGGCTACATCCCAGCCCGCAGCTTGATTTGTCACCATGTCTGCACTTCCTCACAAGGGAGTGAAAATCAGCTGAAAAAGAAAATCAGCTACTTAAAGAGTTATAACAAGCGGATGGTATGATGCAAAAGGTCATAAGGGATTGTGGTGAGCAGGCAGACGAGGACACAGGTTCAGCAAATGCCAGCTTGGAGAGATTATAGTTTGGGGGTCATACAGGATTATCTCCAAAACAGACTGCAGCATAGACAATCTTCCTCAAGATGTGATGTCCTTAAATATCAAGGAAATGGAGTGGGTTAAGATGTTCATTGCCAGATAAATCTATAAACAGAAGAAGGTTTTATTTCTGTAAAATAACAAAATAATAAAAATTCAGGAAATTGACGGATATGGAAATTATTATATTAAGTGAGATGACTCAGACTCAGAAAGAGAAAGAGTGTGATCAGCTGCCTCACATTCCCGCGACCACGGGTAGAGCCTCTTGCACCCACACACTCTTCCCACTGTGATTGCTGATGTCACTTGTAAGCTGGACAGCCTCTAGAATCACTTAGAAGCTAATGGCTGGGTACGCCTAGGCGGAAGTTTCTAGATTAGGTTAAACGAGGTGGGAAGATCTGCTGTGTTAACTGTAGCTGGCATCACACCATGGTCTAGGAGCCTGGATGTAATAAAAAGGAGAAAGCAAGCTGAGCTCCAGCTCTAATCCCTCCTGCTACGTGGGTGCAGATACAAGGTGACCACCTGCCTCACTTTCCTGCTGCCAGGACTTGCCCATTACCATAGACTGTATCCTCCAACTAGGAGCCAAAACAGACCCTTCCCTCCCCAAGTCTTCAGTTGGTTTTCTCAGGCATTTTGTCATAGTAACATAGTAATGAGCAGAGGAACAAAGTCAATGAGAGAACTGAGGCCCAGACTCATCAGCTTCTTAAAAATGGAGAAGGTAGGAAGCGGATCCTCACCAGGGCCTCCCCCCAGAGTGGCAGTTAGAGGCTGTTTCAGAGGTGCAAATCAAGAGCTCTTGGGACATGGGGAAGGCAAGGGATGTGGGTTAACAGGGACCTCAGAAGGCTGTAGGAATTTGCATCCGCATTAAACAGAACCAAATATTTAAAAAGGAACGAATGGGAGGTTCCCAAGAAGTGGGTGGTGGACAACATATGGCAGTGTATTTACTTACAAGGCTTATGTCAACTTTTGTGTCTTAGAAGAAGTATGTTGACTACACATGGAAAACATAACGAACAACACAGAGACCTGGGGTGCGGAGGTGTGGGTTAGAAGCATAACATCAACATAGCCAGTGAGAAGGAAGATACCGTAGGGAGGCTGTGTTTCATGTTGCTTGGGGCTGTGGAAGTGCTTCCTAAAGGGCGTGGGTCAGTGGAGCTTGGACATTCACTGAGGAATAAACCTGTGGCTGCTGGCGTTGTTATGCTGACAGCCGGCACTTGGAGAGGTGTCTTATAGAAAAGCAGATTTAGAGATTGCTTCAGATGGTAACCAAAGCCACAAAAGAACTGAAAGAATGCTTTGAAGAAAACACGCAAAAATGACAAGTGTTTTGAGCTCAAGGTATTAAAACAGATAGGACGGCCTCTGTGTCTGCAAAGCCAAAGGCTCTAGTACTGTTAAGACAGGGTCTTGCCTGGCAGAGGTGGCCCATGCCTTTAATCCCTTAGGGCATTTTCTTAATTAGCAATTGATGGGTGAAGACCTTCCCTCTTGTGGGTGGTGCCATCCCTGGGCTGGTGGTCCTCTGTTCTATAAGAAAGCAGGCTGAGCAAGCCATGAGGAGCAAGCCAGTAAGCAGCATCCCTCCATGGCCTCTGCATCAGCTCCTGCTATCTGAATCCCTATCCTGACTTCCTCCAATGATGAACAGTGATGTGGAAGTGTAAACCAAATAAGCCATTTCCTCCCTGAGTTGCTTTTGGTCATGGTGTTTTATCGCAGCCATCGTAACCCTAACTAAGACATTTGTCATCTGGACCTGAGAAGGAGGGGTAGACATTGTTTATGTCTTTCCCGGGAAGGAACTTTAGCAGTGGTCTTAGATTGGAGTAAGTGACTGGTTTTCCAAAAGAAAAAAGGCTTGCCTTTGTGTGTGTGTGTGAAAAAAATCACCTCGGAGTTCCTATCCCATCCTACTTTGGGCCAAAAGTCTCTGGCAAAAGGTGCACGCAACTTGTCTGGATGGAAGCAGCTGCCCAATCTGAGGTTCAGTTCCTATTCCCTTTATTCTAGTATACACAGATGCATTTTAGCTTTTGGAAGACTTGAAAATGAATATGAAAATATCAAGAGAGCAAATACATAGCATTAGCAAGCTAGGGACAATCTCTATGTGTTACATATCTGTGGTATTTGCAGTGTCTAAAATGGTGGGGTGTCCGAGAGATTAATCTTCAGGTTTCAGCTTGGAATGTGCATTGGAGAAGCAGATAGTTTAGATTTGTGGTCTATTGCTAGGAGCTATAAGAGGGTTTTACGTCTCGCTAACTGTACTGTACTGGTATCTTTAAGAGATTCATTACATTTATAAATTTAATTTGGTATGCTAGTACTTGGGGATGTTTTGCTTGTCAGAGTTGGTCATCAATGTGCTTAAAAGAAGAAACTGAAAATGCTAAATTTATGAGTACAATTTAAAGTGTTTTACCCTGGAAAGATGTAATTAAACTAACTATAAACAGAACTGGTCAAGGGGAGTTTAGTCTGTATAAGTGGAGACTATGAACCTAAGCTGCCTTATTAGAATGTACTGCTAGATCTACCAGCAGAAGAAGATTTATGTGTTGAGGCTTCAGAAAGAAACTGCTCTTTAAATCTCCGCCTTTGATACATTGAATATAAGTTTTAAAAGGACCTTTTCTGTGCACACCACTAACTTCCCACTTCCGTTCCCTCTCACAGACAACAAGATAGAAGAGAGATCTTTAAATTCTTTCCTCCCTAAGAGCTTTCACTTTCAGTAGGGTTGGCAAGGGGGGAAAAAGACTCTGGCTGCCATGAAACCCATGAGTTCAAAAGGAGATCACTGGGAACCTGGCCGAGGAGGAGGGTGCTTAGCCGGAAGGCCACTGGGCTGGGCCAACCTTTCCTAAGGGGCCACTTATGTATAATGGACTAACACTGGTTTTAGTTTTCTATGCAGAAACTGCCTTAAATAATAGAAACGTTTTTTTCCCTGTGATTTTTTTTCAATTCAAATGTAATTTATGAGCATGTTAGCACACATCTTTAATCCCAGCACTCAGGAGGCAGAGGCAGGAGGATCTGTTGAGTTCCAGGCCAGCCTGGTCTACAGGGCAAGTCCCAGGATAGCTGGGGTTATGTAGAGAGACCCTGTCTCCAGGGTGGGAAACAGCAGCAACAACAAAACCCCCAAACAAACAAATCCACAAAGTTAAAATTATCGTTTGGAGAGATGGCTCAGCAGTTAGGAGCACTGGCTTGTCTTGCAGAGGACTCTGGATGGATTCTCAGCACCAGCCTGGCGGCTCACCACTATCAGGGACTATGACTGCAGTTCCAGGGGATCAGACATTCTTTTCTGGATTCTGAGAGCACCAGGCATGCTCACTGTGCTCAGGCATACGTGCAGGCAAAACACATGAACCAAAGTAGTTTCAGACAAGTCATCTTGGGTGTCGGGGACCTAAGTTCTAACACCTAGCACCTAAATACAAAACCAGGTGGGGTTGTGCTAACGCTGTTGTGGGGGTGGGGACAGGAGGCTTTCCATGACTGCTGGCTACCAGCCTAGCTCCAGGTTCACTGGGACTGTGAAGTATGATGGTCAGTGATTGAGCAGGACCTCTATTGGCCTCTGTGCACACACACGAACACATGCCACATGCAAACACCACATATGTCAGAGAAAGGGGGAGGAGGAAAGAGAGGGGGAGATGGGAGAGGAAGAAAGGGGGAGAGAGAAGAGATGGGGGAGATGGGAGAGGGGAGAAAAGCTGATTAATAAATAATGAAGGGATAATGAAGTGCTTTATCAAAATCTTTATTTTTACATTCATATGCTCTTTTTTTTTTTTTTTTTGAGACAGGGTCCCTAGTCCAATCTGGTTTCCAACTCACCCCAGAGCCGAGGATGACCTCGAATTCCTGATTCTCCTGCCTCTGCCTTTGGAATACCAGTATTACAGGTGTGTCCTCGCCTTACTCAGGCTAAACTCTGCAGGGGAATGAGCCTGCAGCTTCCGCCCAGTGAACTGCATCCCCCATCTCCACAAACAGCATCTTGATAGAAGCTATTTAGGGAGGGATAGGCTTTGTCTTTTGTTGAGTTTGGGTTTCTGTAACCACTACCATGTGATCAAACCCAAACCCAGGCCGGTCTGCTGGATGATGTTGACCCATGCGGGAGAACATCTCAGTTATTTCAATTGACCTGACAGCCTTGGTGACGAGGTTTACCACTCCAGAGCCCGTGGTGACATCACTACTGCGGTAGCCCTTCCTTCCTTCCTTCCTTCCTTCCTTCCTTCCTTCCTTCCTTCCTTCCTTCCTTCCTCCCTCCCTCCCTCCCTCCCTTCCTTCCTTCCTTCCTTCCTTTCTTTGGTTTTTCAAGACAGGGTTTCTCTGTAGCTTTTGAGCCTGCCCTGGAGCTAGCTCTTGTAGACCAGGCTGGCCTCAAACTCACAGAGATCCACCTGCCTCTGCCTCCCCAGTGCTGGGATTAAAGGTGTGCACCACCAATGCCTGGCTAAGACATTTTAGCTCCCTTAAGGCACTGTGTGTTTGCTTCCTCGGGAGGTTCTGGTCTGTGCAGACTTTCTGGTGGCAGCAGTTGCTGCTGTGTTGGTATTTTAATCTGCAAAGTGCTACATTAAAGGCTCTTTCTTGTTCAAGCAGCCTTTTAAAAACGTAATAGCTGCTATTTCATCTAGCTTGAACATCTTGTTTGAATGCATGACAAGCCAATTCCTAACCCCCTTGCCTGCCTCGTGGTTTCTCCTTGGCAGAAGGAAAATGATAAAAGTATCCTCTTATCGCTCTGTTTACAGCCAGCAATCGGGCTTCGTTAGGCCGCATGCTAATTACTCTCTGAAAACAGAACTGAAGATGCATGGGCTAAAAAGAATGAAGACTCTAAACACTAAGTGCTTTGGGAGGCTACTTTATGTAATGGTATGAGTGCTACCCCCCCATGCTTCTAAGAAGATTAAATTGGGCTCTGATCTAATCTAGGCTGTTCACATTATTGAAACTTTTATAACAAAAAAGGGAATAGTATGTATTCTTCCAGACAGTTTCTAGTTAATGCTATCTCTACTTATTAGTAATTGCTTAGTCAAATTTCTGTAGCAAAACATTTCCACAGTCATTATTAACTGCTCTGGAATTTTGTTCTTAAACATTAAAAAAATATGATTAATTCAGGCGTGGTGGCACATGCTTTAATCCCAGAGCCTTGGAGTCAGAAGCGGCTGATCTCTGAGTTTGATGTCAGCTTGGTTTACATAGCAAGTTCCAGGCCTGTTTTATATATTAGGCTACCCGGTGAGACCCTATCTCACGACAACAAAACACAAAAACCCAAAACAATTATACTTCAAATGAGTAATAGGAATTCAAAATCCAAGGCATACCAATCTGTTTGTTCTTAGTTACATCTAACATGCCTACCTATATTTGAAACGATGTGTTCAGTTATTAATAATGTAATGATGCGTCTCACTCTGTAGGTGATATGGTTCTATTGATAAGATTCAATAGTCACTACTTGACCCCTCGCTCATCAATCCTATGTCCGTGTAAGGATGCCAGAAATGACATTAAAGTTGCAAGTTGGCTACTTGACCTTTTAAAGGTCAAGGCCAACATTCAAACAGATTTTGCCCAGATATTGTGACTGATGCCAAACTGTGGCATGACCACAGCTCCTGGGAGACAGCTATTAATGGGAAATGCAGGCATTTGGGCAGGAAGTAAGGGCTACGACCTCAGGAGAAAGGCCAACTGTAACAGGTGGGCATGATTTTCAAATTAGCAGGGATGAAGAATTAGGCCAGGAACAGGTTTTCTCAATCAAGGGAAACTTCCATAAGGCCTTTTACGAAGAACCTCCTAAATACCACACCAAGGCAAAACGTGCTCCGTGAGCTGTTCAAATGCCTACTAGCTTGATGGCCTTCTAGTGGTCCTTATACCTGGACGCGCTTCCTGCCCACAGGTGTCACCCTTGTTATTTCCAAAAGATGTCCAAAAATGTAACTCAGATTTTCCCAGTGTTCTCAGCTACCCTGTCATATGCTTACTGGCTCTGCAGTTGCTAGGAGAATATTCTCCCCATGACTCACCCAGCACGAGTGCCCAGGAAGCTGACAGCATTGTACTAATGGCTCACCTGGAGGTTCTTTCCCAGATCTCAACTGCTGAGACAGCTGAGCAGAGATTCCCAAGGATTTGGGCAAGTGAGTGGATACATATCCTTCTTCTAGCACAGCTTTGTGTATGCCCAGAGCCCCTCAAACCTGTCATAAATAGTCCCTCTTATTATACTGTGAGTTCCAAGGGATAGCATCAATAATTTAGAACCCTCTACAAAGTCTAATCTTATTAGTTCAACATCATTGGCTATATACTTAACTTTCTAAGCTACAAAAGATGAATGTCTTAAGGATTTATAAAGAGAATGCATTATTTAGCTATTGTTTCTGACATTCATATCTCTTATTTATGTCTCAGGCATTTGTTTTCTGCCTGTTGTGTGCTGAGTCTTATGCTGACATCTGACAGTAGAAGAAAGAAAAACATACATTTTCTTCAGGAGCATATGACTTTGTTAAGGGAAATGGACATATAGAAAACAACATACATCTTTCTCCTGCTTTCAACCTTCTTGACAAAGGATTTATTTATGTGGCATATAATGTTTCAAAGTAATAGGCAAAGCTATGATCGATGGCATACCATGATGTGTTTAGGAACGCTAGCACAGCTTCAGCAACCGCTGTGAATCTAACCTAGAAGAAGCCTAGCTTCACCTTCCTGTCTGGCAGTGCTTGCCACAGAAGCTGACACATCAAACAAACCTTCTTAATGTAGTATTTCACTTTCACGAGGTAAGGGACAAATTCTGTTGAGATTCCAGTAGCCCTTTGGAAATTTCTATTAGCTCAAGGTCAAGAGAATTTTTTTTTAAAGATTTATTTATTTATTATGTACAAAGTGTTCAGCCTCCATGCCTGCAGGCCAGAAGTGGGCACCAGATCTCATTATAGATGGTTGTGAGCCACCGTGTGGTTGCTAGGAATTGAACTCAGGACCTCCGGAAGAGCAGTCCGCGCTCTTAACCTCTGAGCCATCTCTCCAGCCCCGAGAATTTTATTTTAAATTTGATTTTAGAAGTTGTTAGACATGTTAGAAAGTTCAAAAGCATTTGACCCCAGGTGATCTTGATTATCTGTTTGGCCAAAGTAATAACACAAGGTTTTCAGAGACCAGTCTAGAAGGTTACACAATAACTGAGAAGACGGTTACATAATGACTCTGTGCAAACCTCACTCATCAAAGTCCTCGTCACCAACAACACAGAGAATAAGATGTTGCATTTAAATACAAAGTTCTTGTTTCCTAGGTCAGTTACCTAGACCAATGCAAGAAAAAAGCCTTATATATATTATCTGAGGACCGACATATGCAACACCCAGTTTAAAGCTAGGTAACCTGTGCCTTTGAAGTCACTCTCCGTGCCTCTTTATTCCCTTCAGTGTCTTCTCCCAAAGGGAACTCACTATTGTGAAGTTCATGCCTATTCTTCCTTATTTATATGCACATATACATGTTTCTAATCAAATTATTTCTTTTCTTTCTGTAGTTTAAACTTCGTGTAAGTTGAGTGAGATAGGTTCTAGTAAGTATTCTGTGGCTTGGTTTTTGTGACTCACCATTGAAATTCAGCCAAATCCACTAAGCCTACAGAACTATAAGAAATCATAAAATGTTTCCTTTTTTAAAGTATGGGTAGCTTGGGGCATGTAATAGGCTTTGCAATAAACCAGGTTAGTCTATTTCAGGATTGTTTATACTGTTTCATTAGTCAGCGTATCTCAGCTACTATCTGATAAGGCAGATACATTTTCCCCTTGTTTTGTTTTGCTTTTTTTAAACTTACAAAGCAGGGTGCTTAATTGGTTTTTAGTGTTCTCTCTCTCTCTCTCCCTCCCTCCCTCCCTCCCTCCCTCCCTCCGTGTGTGTGTGTGCGTGCACACGCATGTGCACACTTGAGTGTGGTATATGGACCCATGTGTGCTTGTGTGGAGAACAGAGAACACTGGCTATTCTGTGCTCTCTCGTTCCCTTGGGACAGGGGTCTCTCACTGAACTTGGTCACCATGTTGGTTACACTGGCTGCCCAGCAAACCCTAGCGATGTCTCCTACAGTGTTGGAGTCAAAGGTGCATGCAGCCATGTTGGGCTTTTTGCATGGTTGCAGGGCATCTGAACTCAGGCAAGTGTTCTTACTCACTGCGGCATCCCCCAAGCCTTAGCTTTGCCATAGCATAGTAATACACCTAAGGAGACTGTGACCAAGAGTTGTCCAGTTTGTTCTAAAAAATTCTCTCTTATCCTTCACTTATTTATTTATTTTGAGATGGGGCCTTGAATTGTGGCCTTGATTGCCTTGATCTTCTTCTGCCTCCACCTCCTGAGTGCCCATCCTAGTTTTAATTTGCATTATAATTTATTTCATGGTTTGTATGTTTTCAACTTCTAAATATGTCACCTTATCTCCCCTTTTCTCCATTCCTCCCTCCCTTCCACTCATTTTTGTTTGTTTGTTTTGATTCTTTGAGACAGAGTTTCACATAGCCTAGGCAGACCTTAAATTTGTTGCTCAGCAGAGGGTGAGGGCAACCTTGGTTCTCCTGCCTCCCCTTCCCCAGGGCTCAGATTACCAGGCCGACCACATCGCCATACCTGTTGTGTGATTAGTTCTGTCTTAAAATCAGTTCTCAGTATCATTTAATTATGTATGGTCAGAAATTTGTTTTGGTTGTTTAATGGTTAACACAAGTCATTTTTCGCAGGTTATTCCATTGAGCTTGAAAAAATACATACTTTCCAGTTCTTTGCTTAAAGTATACTATAGGTAAATATTACATCAGTCCTGTTCATGTTCACCAAAAACATCTCCCAAAGCTTACTGACCCCTTTGTCGACGTGACCACAAATTTCTCTTGCCTTTAATTTCTTGGCTTGTTATATAGGGCTTTGTGCTGCTCTGTCTTTCCTGTACCTTTCCTGAAGCCATTGTGTGGATACTATTTGGTGATGCTGAAGGATGTTGATTGAATGTATCTTGCAATGGCCTGACCCGCAATCATGTGTTGCTCATTGCCCAGGTAAACCTTGTATCTTTTCCCTGCTGGGCCTAGTCTGGAGAAGCGCCTGGCATTCATGTGTTGCTCATTGCCCAGGTAAACCTTGTATCTTTTCCCTGCTGGGCCTAGTCTGGAGAAGCGCCTCTTGCTCGGAATAGATGTTGCACGGCAATGAACAGAGCAGATCTACCAGAGAGATATCGACGTTTCAGTTTGGACAAGACATGCGGCATTTCTGCGCACACGTCATTAAGCAAGCAAACCACACAGCCAGGCCTAATATCTTGGAGGTTGGGGAGGTGTCACCCTATCACAGGGAGGGAGAAGAGACTGGTAGGAAGCAAAGCCACATTCTATATCTTTGAATATCCTCTGCACAGAACTTCTAAAATAGAATAAAGATTTTTGGTAACTAATTCATAGCCGTTCCTGCTTTGTCCAATTACATAATACATCCAGTTGCAACTGGCCAAGATGGACAATTTGTGCTTTCCTTTTGAGTTTTTAATTCCTTCAGCCAGTAGATTAAGAATCTGCTGAAGGGGCTGGAGAGATGACTCAGCAGTTAAGAGGACTTGTTGCTCTTCCAGAGGACCCCAGTTCAGTTCCCAGAACCCATGGAGTGGCTCACAACCATCTGTAACTGAAGTTCCAGGGCGTGCCCTCTTCTGAACTCTACCTACGCTATGCCCATGTAATGCACATACATGCATGCAGGCACAATACTCACACACACACACACACACACACACGTAAATCTTTGCAGAAACAGAATCTGATGAAAGTGCAGAGATGTGCACATGTCCAGTGTTTGCTCTTTTGTTTTACGGTTGAAAGAGCGCTTAAAGAAACTGCCATGTGGGCTGGAGAGATGGCTCAGAGGTTAAGAGCACTGACTGTTCTTCCAGAGGTCCTGAGTTCAATTTCCAGCAACGACGTGATCACTCACAACCATCTGTAAGGAGATCTGGCGCCCTCTTCTGGCCTGCAGGCATACACGAAGGCAAAATGTTGTATACATGATAAATAAATCTTTAAAAAAAACCTCTATGCACAAGCGGTAGGCTTCTGCTAGTTGCCCGTTAGCACACTGTATTACCTGCTATACTACACCGTGGAGTAGGGTTGCCTCTGTTTCGTTCATTCTTGTCTCTTGTGTCCCACTGACCAACACAAGATTTTGGGGCTAAAATGTGTTAAACGAGTTAAATGAACAAACAGGCTATGTTGGGATCTGATCCAGGCTTCCAAATGGAATAGAAATGGTCAAATTACCTAAGATAAGCTGTTCTCATTAGAAGCCTACGATAACTTGAAGATGCAGGGTCTTTATAAAAAAACCGAGTCTTTGGAGACAGGTTTTTTTTTTTTTTCTTAAATCTCAGTCAGCAACAAAAACCCTGGATGATCTTTGCTGTGCAGCTGGGGCCTGCGCTGATGGGCCTGTGGTTTCTGTTTGAGTTACCCCCTCTCGGGACGGTGCCATGTAAGAGCCTAGTAAAGGTTTATAGCCTCAGCGAGCAAGCCGTGCCACGGGTTTTCTCTTTGCAAACTAGCTTTTCCTTGATATATAAAACCACCAGCAGATGTCAGGTCTGATCTGTTGTGATCCTCCTGGCATGGTTGTAACCTGTTTTCATAGCATAGGGTTTTTTTTTTTTTTTGCCTGCCCCCCACTGTGGAAGGCTTCGTATCTCATGTCGCTTGTTTTTCCATCATACTATGAGCAAGGACAGATATAACGTGTTTGTTTATTTATCCATACACCAAAGACCTATCATGTGTCTCATCTGTGCCTGGCCCTAAGAGAACAGAGATGAGAAAACCAACGGCAGACCCTGCTGCCGTGGAGAGTCACACTGGGGAAGGCAGCTTGTTTGGCGAGTAACTTCCAACACTTGTAAGTTGGGCAACGCTGTTTACTTATGATGTTAAGTAAAGGACACGGAGCTCAAGTAGTCTAAGGAAGTAGGGGAGGTCTCAAGGGAAGTATTCTGGTAAAGTCTGAAAAATCTGAGTTATTTGGATTAGGAACCAACAACGGTCTTCGTTCTTTTTTATTGAGAGCCATGGAGGCTCTGAGCTCCTGAAAGGAACCATTACCCACGGAGGCTCTGATCTAGTGAGGGGAGGACCCATTACCCACAGAGGTTCTGAGCTAGTGAGGAGAGGACCCATTGTCCATGGAGGCTCTGAGCTAGTGAGGGGAGGACCCATTGCACATAGAGGCTCTGAGCTAGTGAGGAGAGGGAGGACCTATGCCAATGGAGGCTCTGAGCTAGTGAGGAGAGGACCCACCCATTCATTGCCTGTGGGGGTGCTGAGCTAGTGAGGGGAGGACCCAAGGAGGCTCTGAGATAAGCTTCCTAGGCTAGGATCCGTACTCAACTATCTAGCTACTCACTAGTTTCACCGTCTGCTCATTGGGGAAGCTATCAGTATATGACCACAGGGACTTTGGTCAGGATCAAATGGGTTAGTTCATGTTAGCATCTGCCTAGCAAGGCACTTGGCATGTGTTAAACTTTATTGCTATTTACTGGAATATTCAGTAGTGCTACTTGCCCTTCAATTCCTTTTCAAAATCAAAGATTTTCTTGCTTATGAATTAGAGCTTTTGCTAATACAATGGGTTCCAAACTCCCAAATTTTATTTAAAAACATTTAAAAAGGATTTATTTTATTTTCATGTGTACAAATGTTTGTCTGTCTGTATGTATGTGTATGTGTGTGCACCACATGTATGTCTGGTACCCCAAAAGATCAGAGGAGGCCATCATATCTTTTGGAACTGGAGTTGTAGATGATTGTAAGCAGTCATGTAGGTTCTGGGAACTGAACCCTGGTCCTCTGTGGGAACAGTGCTCTTTTGGTTTTTTTTTTGATTCTAATCTATTTTATTCTGCTTGAACCCCAGGACATTTGATTCACTGACTTCTACTGAGATAAACATCTTTAAGCCAGACATAAAAACCCAGTTTCAATACATAAAACTGCTCAAGAGAGACCGTAGACAACAAAGAGTTTCTGGAAGGAGCTACAAAATCGGTCCATGGCTTCAGGATAAAGTGACTTTTTTTTTTTTTCATTCTCGTGGAATGTATCAAACGTTTTTTATTTGGCTTATGAAGTTCAGTGGAGCCAAACCTTCCAAGAGTCTCATGGAATGCATACACAAGTTAGTGGTATGTTTTTTCTTTTTTTTTTCCCCCACCGCCGCCTCCCCTTTCCCTCCCCCTCCCCCAATCAAGTCCCCCTCCCTCGTCAGCCCAAAGAGCAGTCAGGGGGGAACAGTGCTCTTAACTACTGGGCCATCTCTGAAGCTTCGAGGTTTCCACTTTGAAGTACTGACTCCCTTGACTCTGATTGCTGTGTGTCTTGTGTAGAAGGTACATGAATTTCACATGACAATAATAGGTAATAGATAATATATCGTATTTCATACAATGAAACATGATTTTCTAATCCCATAGGCGTTCTCATAGATTACACAACCACTTTAATAGAAGCCACGTCCTTGAATCTTAAGAGAGCAAACAGCAGATTCTTTTTAATGTTATTGAAGCAGAAGATGGTTGTAGTGTTATTATTGCTTTTTTTTATCCAATCAGTTTTAATTGCAATCTTTTATTCTCACAGGACAATACAATCCCTTCCATCTCAAGTCTCCATGGCAGCCTCTGTCTCTAACTTCCCCTAGCCTGTTTAATGAGGATCTTAATGGTCACATTTTGCAGATGCTTTGAAGTCTCTTCCCAATAGTGAGAGACCTAAAACAGAGGCACAGGACACAATTGAAGGGGTCTCAGGCTGCTTAGATGTTAGGAGCAAATAAAAAGGACAGAAAGAAAAGCAAAGGAAAGCCCAAGTATAAAACTGAAAAATAATAACAAAGTAGACCTGACAGAAAGGGGTGTGGGGGCAGGGAGGAGACAACACCCTGTAATTACAAATGGTTTTTATTTCTTTAAAGTATACTCTAGAATATAAGTGTGTCACCCCCACCCTACTCCTCATGAAGGTCATTGCCCATACACCCATAACAAAACTCAGGTTAATAAAAATAAAGTGTAATGAATTTGCTTCAAGTCTTATCGGCAGAAGAGCCTCCCAAAATGAATAGCTCGGACCGGAGCGATGGCTCAGGGGTTAAAAGCACTCCCTGCTCTTCCACACTACCTGGGTTTGATTGCTAGCACATGGCAACTCACAACTCTTCCAAAGCCCCCAGTTCCAGGGATCCGGTGTCCTCTTCTGGCCCCCTTGAGCAGGCACCCACTGCAAATACATACCCAGTCAAAACACCCGCACATATAAAAAAATGCATTTAAAAATATGAATACAAATGGCCAGGAAAAACTATTTTTATGCCTTGGCTCAATGAGGTATAGAGTGTTTGTGCAGGATTTGAGTGGACCAAACTGGGCTCCACTGATAACGGCTGTGGTATAGAAGCCTGCGAGAGAGGCCCGACTGCTCAGATCTATCTAGTTCTCTCTGCAGCTCTCGTCCTCTGCACAGGGAGTTGCCCCTAGGAACCAGGGGCTTATGATCTTCTTCCAGACAAGGTAGGTTAGAGTTTATGCCCAGCTCTCAGAAAGGCAAGGGGAGGCTGTGACCTTCTTGCTTCTGAGGCCTTCTCTCTCTTCTTCGGTACCCCCACCCCACTCTGGGTAGCATTTCCCAAGACCCAGCACAGCTGAATGCCCATTTTGAGCCTTGAGAATTGTGAGTTTCTATTTTCTAACTCATTATTTGATTCTTAGAACTCTTTGATTTTTGAAGTATTTCAGATCCCATTTTTATTCACATCCTGGGTACAAATATACACAAAAATACTGTAAAACAGGCCTCTCGGTTCTCTTTGCTTCCTGAATTAAGGGAAGCCTTTGTTATTGCTGTTAGAGTTTTCCTATATGCAAATTTAGTTTTGTTTTTAAAATGTGTGCTGTTGATTCACTGAGAAGACCCAGAAAATCATTCCCAGGCCTAAGCAATTCCACCAGACACTGCCGATCAGACAGGCTCTTTCTGGAAAATTCCTGTTTGATTGCTCGGTGAAAGGTTAATATGTGACCTCGACAGTTGGGTTTTAGGCAGCTCTTAGGGGAAGGGCCCTCACACTGACTTGTTAAAGAGACTGCATCAACTTCTCTGGGAGAGGAAATTCCACGTTCAGCCATTGG